TTTCTTATTAATAAGGCAACCCTGTTTTTCTATGCTCATCTGCCTGGCCTTTCAATTTTATAAAAATTTTACTGTGAATATGAAATAATTCTTTACACCTGGCAATTATAATCTTGTTACTTCTGTAATTAATACATTACCTTATATAAAGCCACTAGGATTTGTACATAGTTGCCTATTGAACATTGACCATCTGTTGTATCGTTCTACACACTGTATAGTAAAATGATTTATTTACATTGCTATAATATTTTGAAAATCTGGCATTTTTGATAAATTTATTCATGGGTTGTGTGGGTTGCTGATGACACCAGTATTTGCAGCTCATCAAAGATGATCGTGAGCTGCCTTCTTGAACTGTGCATCCTTGTATAGGTACATCCACAGAGCAGATAGGTAGATGCTAGGCAGCACAAGATGTGTGGGTCTAGGACACCTGTGATTTGCTAGTTTGGATTTGTCCATTTTTGTTTGTGGACAGGGCATATCTGAGCACTTTTCCACATTGTTGGGTAGATGCCAATGTTGTAACTGTACTGGAACAGTTCAGTTTGAGGCACAACTGTATCTGGAGTATAGGTCTTCAAAACTATTGCGGGAATATTGTCAGGGCCCCTAACCTTTGCAGAATTCAGTGGGTCCTGTGTTTTTTGATATCAAATAGAGTGAGTCAATTTGGCTGAAGGCTGGCATTTCTGATTCTTTGATCTTGAGAGGAGGTCAAGACAGATGATCCAGTCAGCACTTCTGGCTGAAAGTTATTGTAAATGCATTGGTGTAACCTTTTGCACTGATGTGCTGGGTTCCCCCATTATTGAGGGTGGGGAAAATGGTGAACTCTCCTCCTCCAATTAGTTGTACAGTCTAATATATTACAGCATATTGTCATTCAGTGATATATATAGGTTAGGGCATTCCAGTCTGCTGGTTGCTTCCTTCACTTCTTTCCTCTAATCAGTTTGTGATTATAGTTTAATTCTTCAGGTTGTTTGGCTAGCACTGAATTGAAGAATATTCTTAAAATGTAGTTTTTGATAAACCTTTTACAAATTATTATAACCTAGATTCATTTAAAGAGAATGAGTTCTCACACAACAGAACATAATGCATTACATTTGTTGGACAGGAGGAGATTTTGTGTGTCACTGTCGATGGGTTGGGCTGATTGGTTTGTTTCTGTATAATGTTGTTATCATTATTTGTTGGTCCGTAACCTGCCAAAAAATTACACAGTGTAATTATTAAAATAAAACTGGTGTTTACAAAAACCTGTATGACAGGATGATTCAGAGGGAGTTGGGAATTATGCTGTGATGGCAGTTTTACTTATTGATTACTCATGTTATTCATCACATTCTTTAATGCATTTAGCCATGTAAAACTAGAAATCAAAATGCCTCAAATGTAAGTAAATATAATACAGTACAAGTAAGAAATGCCATTGGATTGTTTGCTGGATGGGGTCAAACTCCAATAATTGTTTGTCTCTTCATATGCTGCTGTACAGAACTGAACTGCTTTAGGGACGATATCTATATAAAGATGTGAATAAAGCATATTTTTGAAATAAAAAAACAGTATGATTGGCTAAAGGTTAATTTATAATTAATTTGGATCATATCTTGTTAAAGGGGAAGTACCTTGTGATGGATTGCCCCCAAATTAATCAGTGCTCTAAAAGCTTTGAGGTCAGAGGTATACATGCTAGAGAGGATGTTTACTGATAATTAAGATGGATCATTTTGTCAAATGGCCACTTTACATTGGAGTGGACAAGCTCTGATGGTTTCTGTTGAGTTTAGTGCATATAAGTTGCATAAGTACAGCAGCTTCATGTTATTCAGTCCCAGTATATTGAGGAGATGCCATTCTTCTCTAGCTTTTGGAGGAGTAAAGTAACTTGAACAGCAATTTCCTGATTTGTTTCCTGATTCATGATTTAGCATTGGAGGTTGCTGTCTAATTTACACATCCCAAACAACAAAGGCTATTATTAGCATCAGCATTACCTTCACTGCAGATTCTGGCCCAGTTGACTTTTCACAGCTGATCCTGAATAGTATGTAGGAATTTGTTTTTGAAATTAACACTTGGCCAAAACAGGACTTGAACCTTTGACCTTAAATTAAAAGTTTAATGCAGTAACCACTCCACTATCTGGGGCTCTGTGAGACCTGTTGGAAGAAATTTAAAGCAGCCTTTGTTGACCCAAGGTCACAAGTAAAGGGTCAGCATTCCAAAAGCCAAGTCTAAGGCCCAAAGACAAATCCAGTATATAAAGGTCAGGTGGTGGGAAGAGAAAGTTGTAGAAGTATGTTGACTGTCATAACATGAGTAGCTGTTTTAAAGACATCAGAACCATTTCTAGACCAAGGTCAAATGGACAAAAGTCCCTTCATTTGCGGGGTAGTATTCCTTTTTAAAGGAGACAATGCAATCCTCTGTTGCTGAAAAGGACATTTCCAACAACCATTCAACTCTGAATCTACAGTAGCAGCTGATGCTCTCCAGACTATTTCCCAGAATTCCATGGTAGCATCCATGCACGAGCCATCGTTCACAGGAGAGTCACAACAAGCAATCAGTTGGATGAAAAACAACAAAGCTGTAGCCCAGATGGGATTCCAGCGGGGGCCTTCGTAGCTGGTGGGCTTTTGCTCACATCAAAATTACATGTCCTCTTCCGGTGGACTTGAGAGAAAATAGAAATAGCACCCCCTCCCCCCATTCCAACTTCAGGAATTCAGCCATTGTAACTGTCTTCAAGCATGGAGATATAACGTACTGCAGAACCTATTATGGTATTTCTGTATTTTCCATACCCAAGTAAATCCTGATGTACGTCCTCCTAAATCACTTAATTTCTATGGCAGAAGAAATCCCCTAAAGGCAGAGTGTGGCTTTAAACCTTGCAGAGGAACCTCTGATATGACCTTTGTCACCCGGCAAATTAAAGCAGAGCTGTGAGAACCACATCAAGGACTCTTCACTGCATTCATTGACCTGACCAAAGCATTTTATTTCGTAAATTGTGAGACACATTGGATTGTGTCCAGAGATTTGGATGTTCGAGAAAATTCCTTATAATACTAATTTGTGGCTGCAACTGTCTTAAATGGTACCAGATACCTTCAAAATCCAAATTGGTGTAAAGCAATGTTGCGTGGACGCCCCAGACTATTTACAATCTGCCTGGCAGCCGTTGTTTACCTCAACAAAGATAACTTGCTCTCTGGCTAATGTTCTGGAGCCATGGGTTTGAATCCCACCATGGAAGATGGTGAAATTTTGACTCCAGTAACAAAAAATCTGGAATTAAAACCCAGCCTAATAGTGATCACTGATTGTCATAATAACCCATCTGGTTCACTTTATGCCCTCTAGGAAGGGAAATCTGCCATCCTTACCTGGTCTGGTGTATATGTGATTTCTGACCAACGGTAATATGGTTGGCTATTAACTGCCCTCTGAAATTGCCTAGAGAGCCAATCAGTCAAGGCTGGTTAGGTATGGTCACCCACATCCAAAGCAAGAGTAAAGAAAAAGACCTCCGCTAGTCAGTAAAAGTTTTAATGTACAGAGCAGTTGTAGTTACCACATTTCTGTACTGCAGAGAGATCTGGAGAGTGTGTCTTAGAATTATAGAATTCCTACAGTGCAGAAAGAGGCCATTTGGCCCATCAATTCTACACTGACTCTTGAAGAGTATCCCACCCAGACCCAGCCACCTATCCTATCCTTGTTACTGGTAGGTGTATTTTTGCTAGAATAGAATGTTTCAAGACTTGTGTGGGGGCACATTTTCAAGGTGAGAAGAGAGAGATTTTAAAAAAGACACGGGCAAATGTTTTACACAGAGGAGGCTTGCATGCGGAATGAACTTCCTGTGGAAATGGTGGATGTGGGCACAGTTACAACATCTAAAAGACACTAAGTACATAAATAGGAAAGGTTTGGAGGGATGTGGACCAGGAGCAGGCAGATGGGCATAGTTTAGTTTGGGATTATGTTCGGCATTGACTGGTTAGACTGAAGGATCTCTTTCTGTGCGTGACTCTGACTCTATGCCTGAACACTAAAGCATTAGAGGGTAACTTGGCAGATTAAACTTCTCTTTCTTAATGCTTAATTTTAAATCTGTATGATCCTCAGTCCTGCATTAATATGATGTTGTTTGTGCTGTTTTGGGTGAATGTATGGGATAACAATTAATTCTGCTAATTCAGGTTTTACTGGTTAAAGATTTGAATGTTCAGAAAGGCTGTTTGCTCTCCTTGTGAAAATGGAATTGAATTATTGAGTGTTGATGTTGTCTGGCCTATGTGGCTGTAGAAGGCTTTCTGCTTTATCTCACATTCAAAGTTATATTGAGATACTGCCGTGAACTATCTCTGGCTGTGGGTGTCTGCACACATACTGTATATGAAACTGCATGCTCCTTATTATGTACTGTATCACTCCTTCATGTACATGGTGGTTATCAAATACATCTCTCTAATGTAGTGTCTAAGACCTCAATCTTTACATATTTGTTCCAGACAGTTGTCTTCTCTCTTACTGATGCCAGAATCATGTCATTTGCTGCATATTCATGACTTGCATCAATCTCGTTATAACACACTTTGCAGTTGTATTGAAGAAATTTGAAGAAAGTAGTTAACATTGCCTTCAGCCTGATACACTCATTCTAGTGGCAAGCAGAACTCCATGATAGGTTCCCCGCAAATGCAATTGACCTCTAGATGGAGTAACACCTCTTTTATTGCACTGATCCCCAACCTTAGGATAGCAAAGCAACAAAATAAGTTCAAGACTGAATGTTTAAGGGCATTAGAAGTGAAAGTTTACAACTTGCTGATCCTCACAATGTATTAAGAATGAATATTTATGAACTGCTCTGTTTAAAGTGTCAGTTTACAGTTACTTAGCCATTGCTCTTCCATTTATGTGCAAGAGGAAAGGTGAGCTTTTTGTAACCAGGTCTGTGCTCTCCTTGGCAGATTATATTCCACGATGTGGACACCTTGACTCAGAAGTTGTTTCCTGTTGTTGAAGGAATGCAGAAACATTTTAGCTCTGGATCTGGTGCCTATTATAGTGATTCCATTTTCTTCTTGTCAGTCGCCATGCACAGAATCATGCCTCCAGGTAAACTTTATTTATTGTTTATATACAAAATGTGGTGGGGGTGCCTGGAATTTACAGTGTTAAATGTGTTTGCTCTGTCAAACAATCTCTGCAAAAATTTTTCCAGTCTGTAATTTGAATTTGGTCAAATTCTGAATATTATTTATAAATTTTTATCTGTGCACATCATAGAGAAGTTTATTCAAAGTGGATTAGTTGTCATTCATACGGAACCACTGTGTTTGCAATAGATCATTGACTAAACAAGTCAATACCTGATAGTTACTGTATGCACGTTCTTTTTGAAAATTTCAAACTCACTGAGCAGCAGATTGAAAACATCAATGCTTTAGTATTAAACTCACCTTAGTGACCTCATTTTGAAAGTCTGTTCGTTTCAGTGAGGCCAAACTAGCTGGAGAGAAGTTATTTTCTGAGACTTTAATTTTGGTATGGTCTACCATGCATCCGATATTTGTGACCAAAGGATAGATTACAAGTGAGAGCTACATTTTCATAGAATCATCCAAAAGAAGCCATTTGGCTCATCAAATCTGCACGGACTCTTCAAAACAAATTCCAAGGAGTTCTACTTTCTCGACTCTTTTGCAAACTTTGCAAATTTCTCTTTTTCCAGCATATAATGAGTTTCCTTTTAATTGTTATTTTTAAATTGGCTTCCAGAACCCTCTCTTGTATTGCTATTCAAATCAAAAGAAACATTAACTGCATTTTAACAGTATCTCTGAACTCCACATAGATCTTTTTTGTGACTTTTCTTAATTCTGCAACCTCTGGTTATTGACCTTCATGCTAGAGGGAAAGACATCTCCCAATCTATTGTATTAAAATTAGTTGTAATTTTGGACAAATCTATTAAATCTTCTCTTAATTTTCTTTGGTTATGTTCTCTAGTCTTCCCACATAACTGGAGTCTGTCATCCTTGTTATCATTCTGGACCTCCCCCAAGACCTTGAAAGCTTCTTGTAGGGTGCTGTCTAGAATTACATGCGATATGCTAGCTAAAGCTTAACTAGTGATTTATGAAGGCTTTGTGCTTAAACTCTCAGGCCATATTTATAAAAGGCTTCTCTTTAATCTTTTCTTAGCAGGTTTGTGAGTTTATCTTGCCACAATTTATGTAAACTTTCATCATTTTCTGTGACCTTTCCAACTAAACACTTAACAAGGGTGAAGAGGTGGCCTTTAGTAAAGTGATGTGCTCTTCCTGTCGGATGTGGGAAATTATGAAGAATTTCAGTGTTCCTGATGATTATGTCTGCAGGAAATGTGTTTGGCTGTGAATCCTACCTGATCACATGGGTCAGTTGGAGTGGCAGTTAGAGGCAATGAGGAATTTACAGGAACCAGGGGGAGTGATGGACAGCAGTTTAAGGAAGGTAGAAAAACTGCAGATACAGTCAGGTAGATTGGTGACCTCCAGGAAAGGTAGGAGTGGCGGGGAGGTAGTGCAGGAGTCTCCTGTGGCTATCCCCATCTGAAACAAATATGCTGTTTTGGAAAACATAGGGGGTTATGAACTTTCAGGGCAATGTAGTACTGATGGCCAGGTTACTGGTACTGAGACTGGCTGTACTGTAATGAGGGTTATGTCAGGTTCCAAGCGATCGATTAGTTATAGGGGACTCTCTAGTCAGGGGCACAGACAGACGTTTCTGTGGCAAACAGCGAGGCATCAGAATAGTGTGTTGCCTCCCTGGTGCCAGGGTCAAGGATATCTCCGAGAGGGTTAAGAACATTCTCAAAGGGACCAGCAAGAGGTCATAGTATACATGGGTACCAATGACATAGGAAGAGAAAGGGACAAGGGTCTGAAGAGATAATATAGGAAATTTGGTTGGAGGTAAAAAGCAGATCCTCATGGGTAATTATATCTGGATAACTCCCATTGCTATGTGCTGGTGAGAGTAGGAATAGGAGGATAGAGTAGATGAAAGTATGGCTGAGGAGCTGGTGCAGGAGACAGGGATTCACATTTTTGGACCTTTTGGGATCTCTTCTGGGGGAGAAGCGACCTGTGTAAGGTCCACCTGAATTGGAAGGGGACCAATATCCTGACAGGGAGATTTCTAGTGCTGCTTGGGAGGCTTTAAATTAGTAGGGGAGCGGGGGGGAAGGCAGCAGTGGGGGGGGGGGGTGTGGGGGGGGGGGAAGGGTGGGACCCAAAGAGATAGTGAGAAAAGGGATAAGTCTGAGGCTGGTACAGTTGAGAAGAGGAGCAAGTCAAATAGTCAAAGCAGGCAGGGAACGATGTAGGACTGAAAAATTAAAATGCATTTATTTCACTGCAAGAGGCCTAACAGGTAAGGCAGTTGAACTCAGGGCATGGTTGAGAACATGGGTCTGGGATATCATAGCTATTACCGAAATGTGGCTCATGGATAGACAAGACTGGCAGCTTAATGTTCCAGGGTATAGATGTGAAAGGAGGGATAGAAGGGTGGGCAAAAGAGGAGGGGGAGTGGTGTTTTTGGTGAGGGATAACATTATGGCTGTACTTAAGGAGGATATTCCTGGATGTATCTCTGGTGAAGCTATTTGTGTGGAACTGAGAAATAAGAAAGGGATGATCACCTTGTTTGGATTGTACTATAGATACCCCAAGTAGTCAGCAGGAAATTGAGAAGCAAATTTGTAAGGAGATCTTGGATATTTGTAAGAATGATAAGGTCGTAATGGTAGAGGATTTTAACTTTCCCCACATAGGCTGGGACTACCATAGTGTTATGGACTTGGATGGAGGGGAATTTGTTAAGTATGTACAAGAAAGTTTTCTTCTTCAGTATGTCGTTGTACCAAAACTTGAGCAAAACTTGACCTTCTCTTGGGAAGTAAGGCAGGGTAGGTGAATGCAGTATCAATGGGGGAGCATTTTGGGGCCAATGATCATAATTCTATTAGTTTTAAAATAACTATGGAAAACGATAGACCTCACCTAAAAATTAAAGTTCTAAATTGTTTTAAGGCCAATTTTGACGGTATTAGCAAAGAACTTTCAAAAGCTGATTGGGGGAGGCTATTCACAGGTGAAAGGACAGTTGTAAGGTAGGAGGCCTTCAAAAACAAAATAGCAAGAGTCCAGAGGGAGTATATTCCTATTAATGTGAAAGGTAAGTGTGGGGAATGCTGGATGACTAGAGAAATTGAGGCTCTTGTCAAGAAGAAGAAGGAAGCATATGTTAGGTGCAGACAGCAGGGATGGAGTGAATCCCTAGAGGAGTATAAGGGTAGTTGGAGTATAATCCAGAGGGAAGTCAGGAGGGCAAAAAGAGGACATGAGATAGCATTGGCAGATAAGGTTAAGGAGAATCCAAAGAGATTCCACAAATACTTTAAGGGCAAAAGGGTAACTAGGGAGAGAATAGGGCCCCTTAAAGATCAGCAAGTTGCTGATGAGAGGAACCACAGGAGATGGATGAGATACTAAACAAGTATTTTGCATCAGTATTTACTGTACAGAAGGATATGGAAGCTTGAGAACTTGGAGAAATAAATAATAATAGCTTGCAAATTGTCCATGTTACAGGTGGTGCATAAAGGTGGATAAATCCCTGGGACCAGATCATGTATATCCTAGAACTCTGTGGGAAGCTCAGGAAGTGATTGCTGGGCCCCTTGCTGAGATATTTGTATCATTGATAGCCACAGGATAGCCACAGAAGAGTGAAGGGTGGTTGTTGTGGTGCCATTATTTAAGAAAGGTGGTAAGGAAAAGTCATGGAACCACAGACGTTGAATCTGAGGTCAGTGGTGAAAAAGTTGTCAGAAGGGACTCTGACGGGCAGGATGTACATGTATTTGGAAAGGCAAGGACTGATTAGGGATAGTCAACATGGTTTTGTGTGTGGGAAATCGTGTCTCACCAGCTTGATTGAGTTGTTTGAAGAAGTGACAAAGAGGATTGATGAGGGCAGAACGTTGGATGTTGTCTATATGGACTTCAGCAAGGCAATCGACAAGGTTCCGCATTGTAGACTGATTAACAAGGTTAGATCACGTGGGATCCAGGGAGAGTTAACAATTTGGATACAAAATTGACTTGAAAGTAGGAGACAGGGGGTGGTGGTGGAGGGTTGCTTTTCAGAGTGGAGGCCTTTACCAGTGGTGTGCCGCAAGGATAGGTGCTGGGTCCACTGCTTTTTGTCATTTATATAAATGATTTGGATGTGAATATCAGAGAAATAGTCAGTATCTTTGCAGATGCCACCAAAATTGGTGGTGTAGTGGACAGAGAAGAAGGTTATCTCAGAGTACAACAGGACCTTAACCCAATGGGCTGATGAGCGGCAAATGGAGTTTAATTTGGATTAGGTGTTGTATTTTGGAAAGGCAAATCAGGGCAGGAGTTATATACTTAATAGTAAAGTCCTGGGGAGTGTCGCTGAGCAAAGTGACCTTCAGATCCAGGTTCATAGTTCCTTGAAGGCGGAGTTGCAGGTACACAGGGTAATGAAGAAGGTGTTTGGGATATGCTTACCTTTCTTGGTCAGTGCATTGAGTATAGGAGTTGGGATGTCACGTTTCAGCTGTACAGGACATTGGTTAGGCCATTTTTGGAATGCTGTATTCAATTCTGATCTCCCTGCTATAGGAAAGATGTTGTTACACTTGAAAAGATGCAGAAAAATCTACAAAGATGTTGCTTGGGTTGGAGAGTTTGAGCTATAAGGAGAGGCTGAATGGGCTGGGGCTATTTTCTCTGGACTGTTGGAGGCTGAGGGGTGACCTTATAGACGTTTATAAAATCATGAGGGGCATGGATAGGGTGAATAGACAAGGTCTTTTTCCCAGGGTAGGGGAGTCCAAGACTAGAGGGCATAAGCTTAAGGTGAGTGGCGAAAGATATAAAAAGGACCTAAGGGGCAACTTTTTCATGCAGCGGGTGGTGTATGGAATGAACTGCCAGAGGAAGTGGGAGAGGTTGGTAGAATTACAACATTTAAGGCACCTGGATGAGTATATGAATAGAAAGGGCTTAGAGGGATATAGGCCAAATGCT